TTTAATTCTAAAAAAATATTTGCTAGCCAGTTGTCTATATACCAGTGAAAATTAGGTAGGTATCAATGGATATATAATTCTATAAATTATATTAATTTTATTTATTAAAGAAATAACAGTTAATGCCTAATGATATTCCTATAGTCTTATAATAATTTATTTAACACCAGTTATAAGATCAATAACTCAACTGATAGGTAATATAATACAGTATTTTCAACGCTGTGATTATTGAGCTTATGGTATTTACAAACATACAAATAAAATTGAGCATAATTAACGAAAGGCTAAATGTATAAACATTTACATCTACAAACATGTAAATATATATATAAAAAAATGAAGTCATTTACAGACTTCTTTGTAATATATTAAAAATATTTACAGCAAACCATATTAAGGTAATGTTCAATTCAGTCGTCAGAAACAGAATACTATTACAATTTTGCGCAATAACTTAGATGCAATCCAAGCACATTTCTAGCTCAATTTTCTCTTACATCCATTATTCAACTAGTTTGACAACCTAAAGCGTTTTCAAATTTTGAGAACAATTTATTGGAAAACTGTGACATGAGACTGGAACAAATCTTACGTATACGGGTATATTCCTAATAGCTTGTAAAAGCAATCCATTACATCAAATATGTAACCCCAAAATTTTTGATATGTCATAACTGTTCAAATATATTTTTATTATTGGATTTGTACCCATCAATCCGTCGATTTCTTTTCAATCCGAGTATTTTAAATTATCCTGATAACATTTTTGCCTATAAGATATTCCCTATGCTATACGTTTCAAACTGTTCATATTGTATATGTTACAATAAAAGTAATGAGCTAGCAAGTGTAATGATATATAAAACAACCCCAGAGTTCTCCACTGGCAAAGGAATACGATAAGGAGATGTGATATCCCCAAAGCTGTTTACAGCAACACCAGAAGAAATATGTAGTCTCTTTAGTCAACTGGACTGGACCAACAAAAGATTAAAAATAGATTAATTACCAATAGTCCTTAAGAATTACAAGCACAAATTTACGTACTAAATAGAGTCAGCAATAAAGTAGGTCTCAAAATTAATTTAGCAAAAGCTAAAGTAATGTATAACGAACTGATAGACAGAAAAAAACATTCTAATAAATAACACAACACTGGAAATAGTAGAAGAATATTATATATATTTGGGACAACTATTACACAGCTCTTTTCTCTACTATCAGAAATCAGCAGCAGAATTAAGTTAGCATGAAATACTTATGGAAGCAACTCAATCATATTCAAATCTAGAATGCCACTTTATCTAAAAAAACATTCGACCAATGTGTACTACCTGTCATGACCTATGCATGCGAAACTTGGACACTTAAAACGGACATTTTAAGGAAACTGTAGGTCGCACAACGCTCAATGGAACGAAATATGCTGGGAATAACCAAGAAAAACCAACAATAAGAGTATGGAGGGGGGAGGCTACACTATTATTGGAAATGGTTGAATAAGCTGAAAATGAGGATGATGATGATGATATATTTATAAATAAGAAGAAAAAGATTAAACGGCTCGGCCCTCAACAACTCGCAACCGTATACACCAGTGTACACCAGTGCAGACACGCACACTCACACACTCACACAACCACACCTACACTAGTGTACACTGATGTAACTGCCTTCAGGCTTCATCAGTACGGTAAGGAATCAGGAAGCAATGAAACCAATCCCAAAACACAAAAAACCAGGCAGCAAACGATGTAACGAGGCACCGTTTGCAACCCAGGAGATGGAAAGAAAAATTTGATAAAGAAACGAAAATAAATGATGGAAAATAAAAGGAGCAAACGGGAGCCTAAAGCCCCAATTCAGAGTCGCCCAGGATTGCGGGCTTCGTCCAGAACAGCCGCGGAGCTAGCCAACAGCTTAGTAGTTCTTGGCTGCAAATTGGGGCTGTAGGCTCCGGTTTGCTCCTTTTATTTTCCATCATTTATTTTCGTTTCTTTATCAAATTTTTCTTTCCATTTCCTGGGTTGCAAACGGTGCCTCGTTGCATCGTTTGCTTCCTGGTTTTTTGTGTTTTGGGATCGGTTTCATCGCTTCCTGATTCCTGACCGTACTGATGAAGCCTGAAGGCAGTTACATCAGTGTACACTAGTGTAGGTATGGTTGTGTGAGTGTGCGTGTCTGCACTGGTGTACACTGGTGTATACGATTGCGAGTTGTTGAGGGCTGAGCCGTTTAATTTTTTTCTTCTTTTATATACATTTCCCTCACTATTTATTTCTTGTTCATATTTATAAATATATAATATATTACTAAGTCATTTAGGTTACTTAATATAAAATTTCTCAAAAATACGTTATTAAAAAATAATTCCAGTTAAAAAACATCAATACATATATTGATTTTTTTTAATTTTGAGAGAACTTTAAATTTATAAAAAAATTACATAAATATTGTTATATTTTAAAAACCATTCAGTATACATCATGACACTCTAATATATACAGGGTTGTTCACCACATACGACACGGAGTATTGTAGCTATACGATTTGATTTTTACAAATTGTAAGTTTTGGGTTCGTTGAAGGATTATTAGAGCTACAATTTAAAAATATTTTTCCAACATACAGCGTGTCCCAACTAAGTAAAAAATATTATAGTTGTATTTTTTTAAATGGAACTCCCTGTATATTATTCTATTTTTAGATTCTACGATTAAAATAAAGGTAAATTTGATTAAGGTTCATCATACTTAAACCTTACCGTTTTTGAAATATTTTCAATTTTATGAAATTGCAGTAAAAATTTTAAGGCTTCATTTCTCCAAGGGTATCAAAGTTTTTAATACTAAATATTTACTGAAGATTATTTATTAACCAGATATTGTGTTGCAATAATAAAAAAAAATTACTACCTTATACAGAGTGTCCAAAAATGTATATTAAATAATTACTAGCTTTAAACGGCAATAGCGTGTTTAATTTAAATGGAACAACCTATATATTTTGCGTGAATCAGATGCACAATGTAATTGTCTATCAAATTGTATTATACAATTTTTTACCTATCTCTTCAAGTTTTCGTAGAAAATGCATTTTCTTATAATTTAGACCTCATTTATCACTATACCCATGGAATATTGACATTTTAGATTATTTTTAAAGATGTAACAAATTTTCCAAGAGTATAGATACTAATATTGTTGATATAGCTCGCTTATTTCATAAAAAAATTAAAAAAACTGTTTAAATATTTATGTTAAAAAGGACCAATAATATGATCCCAGTATTCAGACTACATTAATTGACTGTTTATGTTGATTAATAATAATTGCTCCAAATACTAAAAAACTGAATTTTGTGTGTGTATTAGACAGTGTGGTAAAAAGTAACGGCCTTATAAATTTTATTTCATTTTTTGACGAATGCTGATTTATAAAAACAGACGTTTATTTTCATAATTTATTATTATATTGATTTCTGAGCCAAATCCACATTTATTTAGAATACTTTATTAATTAAAACAATTTAAAAGTATGTAATTAACTAATTTTTGGTCGGAAATAATGATGGTATATTTAATTCGTATACTCTTTTATAAAGATTTAAATAGTTTTTTTGGTATACCAATAGGCTTGCAATATTTACACTTGTACATTTTCTGCATATATGTTGCTTAAAAAAAAATTGAAATCAATATTCCATGGGTATAGTGATAAATGAGGTCTAAATTATAAGAAAATGCATTTTCTACGAAAAGTTGTAGAGATAGGTAAAAAATGGTATAATAAAATTTGATAGACAATTAAATTGTGCATATGATTCACGTAAAATATACAGGGTGTTCCATTTAACTTAAACACGTTATTGCCGTTTAAAGCTAGTAATTATTTAATATAAATTTTTGGACACTCTGTATAAGGTAGTAAAATGTTTATTATTGCAACACAATATCTGATCAATAAATAATCTTCAGTAAATATTTAGTATTAAAAACTTTGATACCCTTGGAGCAATGAAGCATTAAAATTTTTACTGCAATTTCTTAAAATTGAAAATATTTCAAAAACGGTAAGGTTTAAGTGTGATAAACCTTAATCAAATTTACCTTTATTTCAATCGTAGAATCCAAAAATAGAATAATATACAGGGTGTTCCATTTAAAAAAATACAACTATGATATTTTTTACTTATTTGGGACACTCTGTATCTTGTAAAAATATTTTTAAATTGTAGCTCTAATAGTCCTTCAACGAACCCAAAACTTACAGTTTGTAAAAATCTAATCGTTTAGCTACAATACTCCGTGTCGTATGTGGTGAACAACCCTGTATAGAACAAAATTTTATGAAAAATCCACTGAATAAAAAATGTAGCTTTTTAAAGAAACACGGTTTATTCAAATTCACAACTACTATGAAAATATTTTTAAACCGTAACTATAGCTCTTATATTTTTTTATAAAAATAGTATTACAAATTTAATATGGAGCTTTTCATCACCCAGTGTGTTATATGATAAAAACTTCTTTTCATCGAAATCAAAAACCTTCTTTTAGGAGTTATATGGTCGGATATGTCTTTTAAAAACTCGGAACATATACAGTGTGAGTCTTAAATAAGTGCAAATATTTTAGGGATGGTATATTTCGACTCCAGAAACATGTCAATGCGGTTTTTTGGCGAAATTTTTTGTTAAAAATTTGAAATATTTTGAAAAATATCCGGCGATTCTCAAAATGTAAGCAAAAAATCAATTTTTTGTAACTTTCAAAGCAAAATATCTCTGTTATTTTGGACTTATTTGTTAACCGGCAAAGAGAAAATATGTTTCTTTTATCGAGATCTACCAGCCCTGAAAATATTTGCACTTATTTAAGACTCAATTCAAAAAACAATAGTAATAAAAACCAACAAAACACTGATAATCGTAGCACTGATGACACAAAACAGCAGTAATCACAAAACGCCACGACAAAACATAACAATATCACTAACCATTTTGTTTAATATCTAGAACGGTGAGACAAATCTAAACCACCTCTTGTTCCAGAGTGGGCCGGCAAGAAGTTCAAAACTGGATCTTGTGCGAGTCACTTCCAAAATATATATAATCACCTTCGAATTTGAATTTTTCCGCCAGTCGGCTAATTTTAGAGAATGGCGACTTCGCAATCGGTTATAGAGAATCCGGAGGAGAGATAGATCATCGATGGAATTCTAGGAACTTTTCAGTATTTGTAGCCATATTCGTTGTCAATGTCAAGTTTAATAAGTTTGAGTGTAACATTTAAGGTATGATATCTTTGGTAACTTTCTTTCAAATAATTGTGGATTCATCTGCCCTTTAAGATTATTAAGTCATTGCCAAATAGAACAAAAAATTAAACAACGTCAAATAACCATTTATTACATTGATTATAGTTCAATAAAGAAAAAAATGAAAAAAATAATAAAATAATTTAAAAAAGAATACCTAATATAAATAAAATTATTAATTTTTAAATAAACATACTATTAAACTAGATGCTATTTGGTAAAAACACAACTATTGTTGTAAATAATCAAAGTTATTAATAATAAAAATAAAAATTTAAATTAAAAATAAATTGTGTGTACCTACATAATTTGAAGTGAAACTTCTTTCTAAAAACAATTAAATTGAAGGATTGTAGGACATGTTTGAAAAAGTGTAGTTTGAAATGTTGAAAAAACAATAAATTAAAAATTAATAAATTAATTAATTCCCTTTCAAAAAATTTGTATTAAAATGACCGTCTCTCTGTCTATCCGTCTGAGGACTTCATTCGAGTACCTCTATCCAGCACGTGGCAAGTTTGGCTCCAATCGACCCATAATTAAGAGAAAAGTCCTGATGATTTCGTCCATTTAGAGGCATCGATTCGAAACGTCGAGGGCGTCATCCTGTGGCCCGTCCCCAATTATACCCAAATTGATCCATATTTTTCTTCAATATCAAATCCTTAGTCTCACTCTGATGCGAAGATGTAAACGAAACATAGCCTACCTACCAAAGTTGGTCGCGATCGGATGACATCAACTTTTCACGTTTCTTACGTCAAAACTAATTGTCACAGTAACACGTGTCGTACACCGTCAAGTTGGCCTTGGTTAAATCAATCGAGATACAAAATGTCATTTAAATCGGACGATTTTTTCGCCATTGGTGATATATTTTAGTGGTATCCACATTTTATTTGATATTTGACCGAATACCGAATAAAAATATAATAGGAGCAGACTAGGCCGAATACTGAATAATACCAGGAATAATATTCGTGGCATCTGTAATATTGAGTATGTTGTCAAATCAGACTGAAAATATAGAAATGGTTTGTTTACAATTTACTTATACAGGGTGCTACAAATTCGAGGTACGAGCATTGGTATCTCGGTAACCGTAATAGGTATGAACATGGTTAAATTGAGGCAAAGGTGCGCTTTGGGATGTTCACCACGATGCCATGCCATCAAAGTAGTTTCAAAAAGTTCAAGGATTGCTGAGTTTTTTGGAAAAAACGGATATTTTTGAAAATCAATTTTATTTTTTCTTGTCGTTACTTTTTAGAAAATCAAAAAACTAATTGCACATTCTCTAGCCACTTTATTAGGGCTATCTGACAGTATTTTTAGAGATTTTCAAATTAGCTGATAATTTGTGAGATACAGAGGCCCCAACTAGTATTTAAAAAAATACGGACCTGCAATTTTTATTTCAGGTTTTGAATGAACTCGGTCTAAGTGAAGCATATCATTGTACTCAGGACAATGATATGCTACACTTAATATTTTTTTTACTTTCTGATATTTGAACACAATTTATTTAAATTAATTTTAAGTCCGGTCCTATTTTTTTTTAAATATTTAATTTATTGATCGTTACAATATAGATAAGCTGTTTGAAAGCTACAATGACGTAGGGTAAAATATTGAATACGGAAAATCAAATGGAATAAAATAATATAAAATAATACATAATAATATAAAATAAATAAAATAAATATACTATAATATAAACAATCAAATCATTTCTCCGGAAGATGGATTGGAAATGGTAGAGCAGTATAAGGGCCCCAGCGAGGTTCCCCTCTCGCCAAGATTATTTGATGTCATTCGTAAAAGTGAAATCAATACATTTCAACATTTACAATAAAGAGTACAAAATGCCATTCGGAAGTATAACAAGAAGATATATTCAAACCCCTATAAATAAGATTGAAAAAAAAAATTGTGCATAAGCGGCCCATACATTATCAAACAAATTGTGCTACACAGGCTGTTGCGCAACAAGTTGCCAATGTATGGCCCTGTTTGATGCGTTGCGCAATTGTTTGATAAGTTTCAAGAATGTTTGGATTTTTTTGGTGCAACGGGACTGTTTGCGCAACGCGTTGTGTAGTGTATGTGTGTGTTGCGCTTCGCTGTGCAATATTTTAGTTCTTTTAGATCTTTAGTCCAAATTTGTTTTCTTTTTCGTTTTTTGGTAACGTCGGCATCATCTAGGGCACATACGATAATAATTGACGCATTGGTAATTGAAGACATGATTGTTTCTTGTCTTGCAAATGCACAACTTTTAATAAAAAGTTTATAATCAAAATTTTACCAAGTATATGGTGATGCAGTTGTGCAACGCAAGGTTGCGCATTGGTTGATAATGTATGGGCCACTTAGGGATGGTTGTAACCTTTTCGAACATGTAGAGCATTAGAAACTTGTTTCTTGTTTGTAGAAGTTGATTTATTTATAGTAACTGTTATTAATATTATGCATATTATAAGATCGTACACTGATATTTCAAATTCACAATAAAAAAAGTTAAAAATAATTTCTTTAAATTGCTAACTTGGATATTATTTGTTTGAATCTTTTAATTGGTTCGATTTTCTTTATTCAGTGCTACTTAGCGCTGATCAATATTGTTGCGATGAATATAATCAGATTAAATAATTTAAAAAAAACGAGTTGGACTTACAAGTTGGAATTATTTTAAATAATAATTAAATACTTTTGTTATTGCTAAGGCACCCAAAACAAAAAAAAGTATCAAGTGTGGCATATCATAGTACTCAAGAGACTGAGTTCTTCCAAAACTTGAAATAAAAAAATGCAGGTCCGTATTAAAAAAAATAAGTTGGCCTCTGTATATCACAAATTATCAGCTAATTTGAAAATCTAAAAATACTATCAAATAACCCTAATAAAGTGGCTATGAGAATGTGAAGTTAGTTTTTTGATTATCTAAAAAGTAACGACAGGAAAAAATAAAATTGATTTTCAAAAAAATTCGTTTTTTCCAAAAAACTCAGCGATATTTGAAATGTTTAAAACTTTTTAAAAAGGAGCAACTTTGCCCCAATTTAACCATCTTCGTATCTATTACGGTTTCCGAGATACCAATGCTCGTACCTCAAATTTATAGCACCCTGTATATGTAATGTTGGCTAAAAATGCTTATGGATATATCCCTAATAATCTCAAATAATGAATGAAATGATTAAGTCAATTTAAAAAGTGAACAAAAATATAAAGTTATTTTTTAAGATTCTGTTATATGATTTTTGTCAATTGGTAATTTGGAATATACAGAGTGTCCCAGAAATAAGTACAGATATTTTAAGGGGTGGTAGATCTCGATAAAAGAAATATATTTTCTCTTATTAGAGTTATTTTACATGTACTTATTGTTTTGAAAATTAAAAAAAAATGATATTTTGCTTAAATTTTGAGAACCACTGGATTTTTCTGGGTTTTTTTCTTGTAAATTTAATCTAACCTATGTTGCCACCTTATCAAGAAATAATGTTTTTTAAATGAAAGCTAAAAAAAAATTCCAAAATTTTTCTCAAAAAATTCCAAATTTTCAATTTTTTTTTCGCTAGAAAATCCTTATAGGCGTGTTTCTGGGGTCGAAATATACTACCAGTTAAAATATCTATACTTATTCTGGGACACCCTGTATTTTCAGAAATATACATCTAGCTGAGAATAATAGCTTTCTTAATAAGAAGTGAAACAAACAACTCCTGTCAGTTATTTCAAGTAAAACAATGTCTATACCAGCATCAAACAAATAATATTTTATATGCAACCCCCCCCCCCAATTACAGAAATATTATCACTAAACCAAAACATTTCACATAAATCAAAAAGTCTACTTGTTTAATTTCTTTTTAAATTTCTCTTTATTTCTAAAAAAAAAACCTTTTGGCTGGCATGGAAAATAAATGCAATCTACGTGTTATACGTAACAAGAAAGATACACAAATCCAAATCGAAAAAACGCAGCATACTTGTCTAGCCATACGAAAATAAATCTCAATTCATAAATATGTTGAATGTGACCTAGCATCTTCTCTGGGATTATAATGATTCATGGCGTAAAACTGCGAGCACATGCATTTAAATTAGGATGTCGCAAAGAATGACTAAAATCGTTTTTCAAGAAAATATCTTTAAAATGAGATATTAAAATAGAAACTTCTATTAAAACATTTCGCAATCTTATAAGCAATAGACCTTCCAAGCGAGGTTTTCTAGTGGCCATTATTTTAGATTTTAATATCGATTTTTAAAATAAAATCGTTTCAAGTACAGTTTAATTGTTTCTGTTTAATTTTAAATGAACTGTTTGAATTGAGTTTTAAAGCAATTTTATTAAATTAATAAATTTATTTTTTTCAATCCTTTTTAATTATATTTTTATTTTAACTGTGAAGGGCCATTTTTTAATAGATTATATACATAAAACATATACTGTAAACGAGGCAGAATCAAATATCATTAATGGCAATTAAAAATAATTTCAGTGTCTAACAAATTTTAAAATTACTACAGAGAATTTGATACTACTCACCCGAATAATCAAATAACATATTTTTGGAAGTTGTTGAAAAATTGAAACGTCAAAACAGAATTCAAAATAAAATACAAGTGAAAACATTCTCTAAATTCTTTGTATAAATCTGCATCGGTGTCAAATTTAATAAAGAAGTCTATATTTTCTTGTAAGGTCTGATTTACAGTTTAGGTAATACAGTAAGCAGTATATACAGGGTGATCTGTATATACGATTTAAAA